ACTCTTCGACAACCCACGACCGGTTTCGCCCTTCTTGGGGCTCATCAGGTAGGCGCAGTCCCGAGTTTCCGTCAAACTTATGTTCTACTTGAACCCAAATTGGACTGTTTTCGAGCAGTACGCTCATTTGCAAATCAATTTAGTTTTCACAAGAGACTCAATTGAATCAAAATAAATGTGGAATTCTGGTGTTCTGTTTTGACACATACCTCTGAGTTTCCAAAAGGATTCTTCCGGAGAAAGCCCGTCCTTGCTTCCCCATCGAATGCTTGAAGAACCCTGACTACCCAGTCGGTTTCCAGGGGAGTTGAGGAGTCATCCTTTCTTGATAATCTAGCAAACCAAAGACTCAATTTCATTAAAAACAGTAGTCTGTCCTCTTGATTTCCTTTGAGTGGCATAGCTCCAAAGTACTGTATCAGGTAGAACAGCGTAGTGTGGGCCAAGTGCTGAAACAGAGTGCAACAAAGTAACAAAACAAGTCTAAGTGCACGTGACTTGCGTTAAAAACAAAACCCGGACCTATTTGAACTTGAAGGGTTATTTTGCGCGTGTATCCTTCGAAAGCATTATGTATCCGGCTTACAAGGATGGACGACNGACATCGTCTGGTGTGAGAAACTTTAGTCCTCGAAATGGTCATACATTCACGGGATCACCCTTGGAGCCAGTAAAAGCTTTAATTTGGACTGGATTTCCTTGAAGACGAAAGAAAATGTACCTAATACCACCAAGGTCGCTGAATTTGATACAGCCGCATTATCCCCAGTGGGACTTTACTTCGTTGTGGGCTTGGCTTTGAGTATGAACCACACTCAACATTTCAAGGATGGGTTTAACATGCATGCGGCTTCTGAAAAAAATTGAACTTCGAAAAAAAGTCAAATGTGCAGTGTTCATGCAAAACGTTAAACAGATGCTGATATACATTGCATACAACTCACTGATACAAGTCCCCGGAGGGTTACTTTTAACAGATCACTAACTCAGGACCCAAGTGTGAACTCTACCACCGTGGAGTAGTACAAGCTCTCCATCCACAAGTGTAGCGTTCAGTTTTTTTAATGTGAATCGCCAATAAACTGTCAGTCTTCCGTTTGTACACAAAAATGCGATGACGCAGCAAACTAACAAAGCATGTATGCCTGTATTCACTGGTTTTCCCATTCGTTATTGATTACTTTGTTTCGGTTTATCCACGCTCTAATATTATTGTACCAACCAAACAGTCACTACACGGCCACTTTCTGGCTTGCCAGCTTGTGTTCTCATAGCCCTGTAACTCAACATTTGGCGATGGGGATGGGCACCCGGTTCAACTTGTTCAAATCCAAGCAGTTTGGCCATCGATCAAGACGACTTAAGAGCTCCTGAACACGTGTGGTGGAATCCACGCTGTGGTCAGTAGACAAGAATTGCACCAACTGTAGGAGACCAATGACCCGACAGACGCACATTCAACCGTACTCTCCTGCGTCTTCGGTGCTCCCTGTCATTACTGCAGAGAATCGAGGAATTCCCGGGTCGCAGTAAATACTTGACCAAACAATGGAAATAAGACAATTTATGCGACCGTCCCGAAGTACTGCGAGAAGGTGATGAAATAGTTCAGTAAAATGGTCCGCAGCAACTCTTGGGGTTTCCACAGGAAGATAAAACCATGCATCATAGACCATTTCCTCAAAATCTGGAGTTGTTTTTTCACATTGCTATTCCATACTGAATAACAATCCGGGGACCATAGATTTCCTTCTTTAGTTTAGCATGCTTTTAAGGAAGAGAACAATAAAGTGGAGAGAAGTCAGAGTTGTTTTTTCAAGGTTCCGGGAAGGAAATTACTGATTTTACCGACACCGGAAGGCAGTGAATGTCTGGAGTGAAATTTTTTAAACCAGAATGTAAGCTGGTCTTCAGTTGCACAAAATATTACTAAGTTCACTCTGGTGTGGATAAGCTGGACATGTTCCAGTCTTTTGGTTCTTGCGGAGCAAGGGGGCCTGATTTCAGGAATCGCGATATATTGGTTTTCGTGATTGGTTGCTTACTCTAGACGAGTTATCCCTATCAACGTTGCTTTCCAGAGCATCATACCATCAGTTGGAGTCTCAAAAGGAGGCACAGTTTGGAAGGCTCACCACAACTTTGTCACTCATCAACTGACGCACTTTCCTTTGTATTCTTGGTATTAGAGGTCTCCACCTATTAGGCAGGATATGTGCGTTGCAAACAAATACTGCTGACGTGAGCCGTATAAGCAAGAACAAAGGTGTGAGAGCGTTGAAAATATATCATACGGAAGCAATTTGAAATAATCTGCTTTGTCACACTTTCGGAGCAACCTTATGAGCAAAACGATGAAGTTATCCTGACGACTCAACTCTACTAGATACGTAATCGGGGGACAGCAACGATTGGACCTGTGTGGGTGGAAGATTTGAACTGTTCTGAGCGAATAATGGAAAGCAAAGACGGGGGGCTCATTGTGACAGCTCCATTCATTCATGAGGAAACGTAACTTTCTCTGCTACACACATGAGTTTTGAAGCCATTCTGTAGTCCTAATAAGACTAAATCATCACCTACTCTGCTCTGAAACGCAAGGGGGCCATACGCCCCTGATCTTCGTTGGAAAATGTGAGCATCTGTAGTGAGGAAGAAGTCGAACGAGCTGATGCTTATCGGGAAGGCATCAAACCTTTTAGTTGATTATCTCCATGTCAGGCAGACTACTCAAACACAATCATCTTTTTCAGAACGGGGGTTAGTTTAGAGTCTTCGCTCAAGGGAGACAATTCCCACTATCCGAGGTTCTGTTCAAACCAAACGTCCCAAAAGCTCCTGGTACACCTCAGAGTGGACATCTAATATGTCTGCCCCCCCCCCGACCAAGATAACACCATGGTCAAACATTGTTGCTGCTCAAATTCTGGAAGCTGCAGATGACGCAAGCATCCTTGAAATTTTACCGTGATTACCTTTAAAATAAAAAAGCTATGGATAAGAAAAGTTTGGAAAAGTTTACAAAAAATGTCACTCATGTGCTCACCTGTATTTCTGATGTCTGGTCTGATAACTTCAAGCAAAGCGTCTTCTCTTTTTGCAGCGCTTCACGGAGCAAATGAGAGCAGTGCCGCGCCACAAGAGAACAAATTCGCCTACATGGCCATCGAAATATGGTAGCCCACTCGGACTCAATCAAGCTAGCTATTGCTGTCAACTTCTGCCTCAATTCGGGAATGTGACCGCCAGCAACACCAGTACCGTCCAGTTGATATCGTGCCTGCAAGCCATATCGACGCTCGATCCGCTTTCTTTGTTTTCGGACAAAGTCGAGACGGAGATCGGCCGATTTGAGCTCTGAAGTTCGTCTAGTCACTTCAACATGAAATCCGACAAGGTCACAGCTGTTAATTTCTTTCAGAGACATTTTGTTTGGACCGACGTCAGTTTCCCCCTGTGACCATGTTACGTTTCCCAATTCTGACATGATTCTATACAGATGGATCTGTAGTGGATAGAACAGACGCTACTGAAGGACCGAATTCGTAAAATTCGAGTTCTCAACTAACTTTCCCATGCTCTACGTGTTATTTGTACATCAAACAACATCGAAACAGAAATAATTGTGCAGTTGTGAGAACAAACTCGTTCCGAAATCTTCTGTGCCTGATGTTTAGTTGTTCTGTCGTGCTCTCTTTTCTCAACAGAGGTGACAGTAACCAATTTGGAAGAATAGTTATAACTGATTACTGTTCAGGTGTGCCGTTCACAGTATCTGGCTGTGAACAATGGAGTGAAGCTGAGCCTTTCGAAAGTTAGGCAATTTCGTGACTGTACAGCAGTTCATCTCTGATCTAATGAAGCAGCATCAAGAACTGGCTATGGCGCTCAGACCAACCGATAGGGCACGACCTTCAGTCTGTGTTCTGATTGGCCAATTCATTGTCATTCTGCCTGACCAATCCCCGTGCTCCTTTGGTCAATTCGGCATGCGTGCAGGCGTTAGTCAGTCAGCTGGTCTAGTCTGGTCTGGTCTTGCTAGAGTTATCACAAGTTCACTATTCAATCTGGTGGAAAGCAACACCATGCACGGTACCTGAGCTAATCTGAACATGAGGCCTAAATGTTGGATCGCTGAACTTCATTCGTTAGTTCTGCCCATTTTAAAACGATACTAGTGCGCTTCATAAGTTGCTAAAAAATGGAAAATACAAATAGCAGGAAGGAAATCCGGTTGTGCTGGCCACAACAATTCTCTTCCAGATGCGAAAAGGTCACATATGGGTTATCGTGAGCTCAACCGCTGAACTGTGTCAATTAATGTGTTAGACTCCGTGAAACCACGTGCTTGCGAGCAGACTCGAGGTGAAATTTAATGTAGTTCAGTTCGGTATGACAGCCGTGAGGGTTGTACGTATGTATGGTACTTCCGTTTGCCTCAGCGTGTCAATCAATGTGTTAGACTCCGTGAAACCACGTCCGTGCGAGCAGACTCGAGGCGAAATTTAATGTAGTTCAGTTCGGTTTGACAGCCGTGAGGGGTGTATGTATGTATGGTACTTCCGTTTGCCTCAACATGCGACAGTGCACAGGTTAGATCAGAAGAAGGGGCTGTGGTGTGGAAAACATACAGGGGTAGCTAGAGAACAGTGTGTTAATGATAGGGGACACAATAACGTTAATAATTGTCCGGCGTCACTGAGTACATTTAGCCATAGATGTAGTGGATATCTGATACCTCAACGGCGCATGGGTCGTGCTCCGATGCAACCAACCGATTGAAGTCCTTGACTAGATAAATGACTGGTTATTTTCCAAAACTCGCTTGTCTCACGCTCGTACTGCTGATCCGATGTTTTCGTGTTACATTTACCATGATTCCAAGGCATCAATGGTCAAACGCAGCCAGTCTTGTTTGTTTGCCGGGCTTGACGCTCGTGAAGCAGAACTGAACGCAATGACAGGGTAGTGTCACGCAGAGGTGTGTAAGTCACCAGCCCTCCTACCATGTGAGAAGGTCTAACTACAGACTTTTTCAGATACCAAGGCGATCTTCGGCAGTGTACTAGCCCAGTCTTGCAGCAGTACTTTGAAGTATGAAGGTGTCAAGCCTATAACAAGTCGCATGATACAATCAGTCACACGTTAGGTTTCTGACCTGGCTTATTAGTTATCGTTCGCTGGTGATCCCAGTTTTCAATACAATCGTCCAGAAGCTGATTAGCGCATCTATTTTCGGCCCAAAACTTATACCTACTGCATTAATAACACCAGCAATATGACACAGCTATATTGAAAATGGGCTACTATACAGTTTAGTGTGCTTCCCACTAATATCCTGATAATAGAGCGCTCTGATTGCGTCACTGCGGTACCCACATGTACTGAACGAAGAATCCGGTTTTTGCTACACAATTTCCGAGGAAGCGCGACCTCATCTTTTTCCCCTCCTTCCTTGAGTATTGAGGAAATCTGCAAGAGCCATTTGTTCTTACACACAGAACTTGTTGTTCAAGTTTGGTGACACGACTAGATTGCAGTCAATTGTGAGTGGACCTGTTCTAAGGAGGGGTAATCAAACTGGGCGAGATGGCCCAAGTGGTTAGAGCGCGAAAGTTACTGACGGAAAGTCCATGGTTCGAATACGACCTCCGCCTCTCAACTTCCCCTGTCTAGGCTTGGGCAACCTGGCAGTATCCCAGCCTTCGTGCAACCTTTGAGTGGCATGGCAGTTGGGCACCGAAAGGGTGCTACAGCTGAACATTTTTTTAAAATTTTTTATGGTTAATAGGCGTAAAGTTTACGGTAGGTACTACTGACGAGGCATACAAGTAGTATGTTCTCTCGTAAATCCGTTCTGCGTCTCCCGAAAAGTGAGATCTAATACGGAATTTGTGGAGCCGCTTTCTAGCACTTGCTGGCCTCAGTCAATGAATATCCAGGAAAGTTCAGAAAGACGCGTTCAATGAGAAGATGGATGTTCAGTTTTTGTAGACAAGTTACATATGAGACTTTTGCTTCCCTGTTCAGTAGTTTGCAACTGTTCAGTAGGAGGCTTTCTAATAAAATAACTCCGCAGCGAAGGTCTTCTTTCTTTTACTAGTAGCTGTCTAAGTGTTTCGGTCTATTATCTGAATTACGTTCGCGAAATCGGGGTTATCCAGGTAGCCATGTTGCTCAACCTTCGCTTAAAAGTGAGCCCTTCAGGTGCTACCCGAGCCTGGAGCATCGGTCCGGAAAATAACCATAACTTCTCACTTCGGGCATGCCGATCAGAGGTTGCCCTTCCTAACTCTGCAAATGCAGTCCCTCCATTTTTGTTTTCAAAGACAGACTTAATCCACACTTTAAAAATCTAGTTGGTGTAAACTCAATAGCCAAGTTTCGGCGACTTCTTTCATCCGCCTTGATGTGTACAGCTGTGACTGTTCGACGTCGTCTGCTAAACACGTGCTTTTCACCATTTTTTACCTTCCAAGTTACCTGACTATATCTACGGTTCTTTCATAATGTTCCGTTCTCGACAAGTTGGTGTGGTCACTTTAGAAGATGGCGTCTGTGTGCATCACGCATCTTCCACAAAATAGGACGTCTTTTTGCACGTTGAACGATTAGATTCGTCCAGTTGGGAATTCCCTCCGGTTTCTTTGGTTTCAGACGTTGGGAATACGGTGGTTTTGTTCACCCCAGTCGAACAGTTAAGTACAATCTCTTCAGACGGCTGGATGTATTACAGTGTGGAAGTAACTAGTCGATAATCCGCATACAACTTGTCTGGCGACACAGTTTACACCAAGCGTTCACGATTTTATTTCGCTTTGGTCCAATCGATGGGTCTAATCCTTCGGATCACCATCTGGAACTTGATTTGCTTCCAGGCGCACCTTTTTTGATCCGCATTTACTATATTCTCACGCTAAGTGCACTCTGTAAGGAAGGAAACGACACAGAAACTTGCCTTTGGAACTTGTTCACGGGATGAGCGTGCCACACAGTTTTGTCTGGATTTGACAGCACGTCAATAGATAGAATGGTCCACTTGCGTGCACGAACTGGGAAGCAGTGGATCCTTTTACCAACCCAGTCAGAGCGCAAGTACAAACCAATTTATGTCCGAAACTTTTGGGTCTTTGTGTTCTGGTTTGCGTTGCTCTACGGCGTCATGGCCCCGAAGGTTGTTTCAGACAAAGCTTTAAAGAAGGCGTCGAAGGGGAAGGTCCCAAGGGTCCACAAGAAGAAGAAGAGAAGGAGGAAGGAGAGTTATGCCATCTATATTTACAAGATCCTCCGACACCGGTATCTCCTCGAAGGCCATGTCAATCATGAATTCCTTCGTCAACAACATCTTTGAGCGCATTGCCGCTGAGTCCAGCCGCTCACTACAACAAGCGCTCGACCATCACCAGCAGAGAAATCCAGACTGCTGTCCGTCTCCTCTTTCTTGGTTAGTTGGCCAAGCACGCCGTTTCCGACGGCTTTGTACTGACAAAGCACACACCTAGAACTCCTCTATGGACTCTGCTAGATCTCGGTTACTCAGACAGAAAAGAGTCGCACTGGACTACAAGTAAGGAGGGTTATTTGTCAGGGTTAATTATTGCGGGGAGATAACGAATGCCAAAGCAAGGCAGAAGCCAAAATAATGCTGTATGAATGTCTTCATAGTACCGTTTTCGATAATGAAAAGAACCTAGATAAAGTGGTTGGGGATAATGTAGAGGCGAACTTTTGAATGAAAGTCTCGAAGTTCCATTCTCACGCCGGCCGCTCGAATATCCTTGTTGGAGGCCAGGATGTTGGCAGTAGCTACAATTTCTAGAAGACTGAACAGATTTGTTCTAATGATCACTTTTCCTGATCCTAGCAACGACTTGTTGCATCAGAATTACAGCCACCAGTCTCGTGAAAACTGCTGGTCACGTGTTGGGAAATATATAGTTGTCGGTTTCCTCACCTTAGAAAGGTAGATGTGTTTTCCTAAATTCGCCTCTTCTAAACGCGTTCGTTTGAATTCCTCCAATTGCTTGGCCTGATTTGTTCCAACACCAAGAATGGCTGACGTGACAGCACCGGCGAATTCCCAAGGAGTTAACGCGAAATCCATCGGTAGTGGATTCAGTTCAGAAAACCAGTTCACGTATAGGATGACTGCAAGGGAAAGAAAAATCAATATTCAGATTTTTAAACTTATAGATGATGTGCCCAGATGGGCGCCTTCACATTTTGAAGAGCATGCTTCCCATCAGGTCGTGCGGTAGCAAAGGCTGAAAAAGGAACTTCTAAAGCAGCTTGCGAAACACATTTAGGATAAATAGATTAGTTACTCATGAGTAAAGCGCAAACTTCAGGTAACTAGTGCGATTGTTTGAATTGGCCTTCGAAGCTCGAAACATTGACAATGCATGCATTTGGAGATAGTTTAGACAACAAAATGTCTGACACGTTCACTGCCGTACAACAATGATTTACTCGAAAGCCCTATTGTGAAGAAAAGAATGAAGGTGGACGGAGAAGGGACTTAGTGCTAGCTTACCACAATCATTCCGAGGTGCCTACACCTCCAGACAAACACTCAGGCAATCTGGATAAAAACCAACAACAAGAACGCCACTGACATCGGTTGGCAGTCATATCTTGTAGTGTCTCCAACCAGGCACAGTGAGGATCACGCCGTCTCCATCCTGGAAGGCACCCAAGCGTTTCGTGATCTCCTTCATACTCCTCTGCCAGGTCATGGGTTGGCCACCTCTCTTTTTACGCCACTCTGCATTGGGCATGGAAAACAGCACTCTCTTCGGCAAACGATGGTTAGGCATACGCAACACATGTCCCAACCAACTCAGCTTCTGGTGCTGGACACATTCTCCAATGGAAGTACCCGTTGCACAACCAAAAACGCGCTTTCCAACAAAATAGCACTTATTGTACCTACCAATGGAACGTCCTATAGCTACATGGACCACGTGAATTGATGCATTTCTGATGGATAAGGTGTTTTCCACTAAAATATTTCAAGAATGCTGTGACACTATTTCGGTTCTTGCATTTATGCTTTACCAGTCGCTTCAATATTGTTCTATTCAAATTGGTGGGTGATCGAGGTTTCGCAAAAACATTGCTTACCCTCTGGTGGATCTTTTAAACCTCTCCATCCGATTAATAAAAAGATGAACTTTTCCTAGTGCGATACTACGTTTTGAAAATGGTCAATGGTTGCGCTGTGATTGTACTCAACGACGAAGCAACCGCGATAACTCGTTGACATTCTGGATACACTTTTCCTTGCGATAAGCAAGAATTACCAAATGGCTCAATTACACTATATGCACGAAGACGGAAAAATCTGGGGTTGAAAAACACAGCAACGAGAGCTCTTCCAGATGAACTACCGAGAATCGTTTGGCTCGGTTGACAGTTGACATTGGTATGACTCGTTACGCACCGACCTTGTGTACTGGTTTCAACGCCATCCGCCTTTCTAAATATATAACTGAAGCCCCAACTTGCCGGAACAGAGTAAACCAAGTGATCGGTAAACTACTCATGAATAGTGTCATTACTTCATTCGTGCTTCACGAATGCAATCAAGGAACAGATTAACACTAAGTAAGTGAGCAGTTATTTTTCAAATTTCAAAAGAATTTCAGCTGGTTGGCTGGCATTTTTGACTGACCCAATAGAATACTAATAAGTTTGTCACCTCCAATTCGCTGTTTCAAATGAGTCTAAAAACCTGAGTTACCCGATGCATTGCATAAATGAAAGCCTTGCACTGATAACTAAATCTAAAATTTGAAGGTATGGAACAGATCAAGGGCCGATTTTCGCTCTTGGAAACCAGACTGTCCAGGAAACCGTGTAACACATGAGCAAATTTACCAAAAACACACTAAAAGTGATGCAGTCCCGTAGCAGTGACAATAGCGTAAGTGGCTTAGATGAGGTGGGTCATCCCAACAACGAGCTGAACTCGAACAGCCTTGTCATCAGACGGGTCACCTCCGACAGAACCCTTGCGTACACCTGTTTGAGTGTTTGATCTATCTGACATGCTATGATATGAAACAAGCGGGCAAACTCTCAATCGACATACCGTTGTAACGGCGGACACTACTGATGAGGCATGCGAGTAGTATGTGGTTTTTTCGTACCTCCGCCTCACCTCCAGTGGAAGATGGGATTTATTACGGAACTTGTGGAACTGCTTTGCAGCGTTCGTTTACAACTGCGAGACAGTCAATGAATAACCACGAAAGTTCAAGAGGACGCGTGAGGATGTTCAGTTTTTAAAAACAACATGCATATGAGGTGTTTACTTTCCTGTCCAATAGTTTGTAACTGTGGTCACCAATAAACGACTTCGCTCCGAAGGGCTTTCTTCTTCACACTCAAACCGGTTCACGACAGGCCTGAACATATATGTCATTATGGTAGTCTTCTATCTCTCTTTCTATTTTCCGATCCTTCGTGAAACCGATGGTCCCATACTTCCCTGCGTAGTGATCCAATGATGACCGGGGACACGTCACGGCTCATTAAGAGCCTTTACCCTCTGCTCCATACATGTGAAGTTTATGCAACTCAGGGGTGGAACACAGTTAAGATTGTTGATACACTTTCCAAAATGCAACCGGTTATTTTGGCAACATTTGTTCCCGTGTAGACTTTTGCTAATGGGTTCGAAAAAGAGTAACTGCGTAGTTCATTAGCTCACACGTGATACAAAAAAATCCGACGAATAAGATGAATTTAGTACGAATAAGTGTGAGGCGATTAGGACACCAGATATATGTTGTGTTTTCGAAGCTATACCTCTTCTTAAATTCCTCCTTTTGGGGGAAAGATTCGCATGATCGATAAACAAACCGAAGAACTGTAACGCCTGTTACACACTGAAACAGTCTTCAGTAAGTCGGTAGTTAGACCATAACTAGTTTCGCTTGCATTTTCAAAGAATACCCATGCTTTCGGGCTTCTCGTTTGAAATGTACAAAATTCTTTTCCACTTTACTTTGTCAACCTACCGGGCACTCATCATGTTTCCTCACAATGCTGACAGTGAGAGAGCTTCCAAGCTGGGTGAACTCATCAACAGCTACCTGATGAGTTTTCAATCGTCTGACTACTTTTCTAGGCCAACAGTGGCCACCAATGTAAGCAGTGCTGAGCGCCTGTGACTCATCGATTGCATCGTATTTTCTAGAATACATGCTCACATGACCCTCTTCTGAACAATCGTCCTCCTGTCTTGAGGCAACCATTTTAATTAATCCACACCAAAGGGTCGAGGAGGGAAGAACTGGACCAATCGATAGTGGACTAATCGATACCGCGTAGCCTTGGTGGTGCCGAGGTTTGAACTCCGGACATCTGAAATGCGAGGCGATCGTGTTCCCATTACTCTACCGGCGCACGCTGGACTAATTTGAATTTTTACGTCTGAACAGGTAGCATGCTTGCGCCTCAGCAATGCGAGCAAAAAGCCCGACGACTCGAACGATGAACATAACTTGCTTGAGTCGATCGACTGGTCTGATTGCTCATCAAAACCAAAAGCTAATTGGGACAGATTCTTCTGGCTCGAACTGTCTAAATGACCGTTCTCACTTACGCAACCAGCGTGCGTAGAAAGTTCACTTTTGCGGAGTAAGTCACGTGTAGTAGTAGAGATCTCCAGGCCATCCGGCATTGACCATCTCTCTACGTTTGGTGACCTTATGGCACGGAGAACGAAATATTGCTTCAAAATTATGTCTCTTTCGGTTTCTTCTATGAACACAAGACAAGGGCCAGCGGCCAGCCTGAAGACCCATGCACCATACTGATTTTTCGTTCCACTCAGAGACACGAAGGGAACACGATAAGTGCAGGCACCGTTCGGGTAGCTCAAGTTAGTCTCTACTGATTTCGATGATTCTGTACAGTGTTCCCCTCAACATGCAATGTTTCCACTCCTTTTTCTAAGGAGAAACAACGAAGGATACCTTATACGAGGGATTCGGTTGTGTTTACCATTCACAAGTCCATTTGTAAACGAGTGTACAACTTGGCATAAAAGTTGGCGTGCAAATAGAAGGGTGACGGAGACTGTGCCTATCTGATAAGCACAAAGAAGTGAGTAACCTGCCGCAAGCTGTCGAACAGTTTTCAGTAGCCCGATCAGTAGTATGATTCTAAACCTCAACAACATGCTTTTCACCTGATAAGACACCCACTCCCAACGACAATCTGGAGATGAATATGTGTGAAAATAAGATAACCTGCGCGTTGTGCAACGCTTCTTGCATTTCGGATTTCTCAAGATTCCCTGAACCTTCTATCACAAAATAGGTCAAAAATGGTGCTGACATTTATAGATATACGCCACTTACGCCCAGGAAACGACTGGAGGATGTAAAGTCCTGGCCTTGTACTTACCATTAGCCTCCGTCTGTGGGCAGGATGTGAACAGGACCATGCGAATTCGTTGCGTAGATAGTGGATCCAATCTATCTGGCACAAGCAGCTGTAAAAGTTGCTTCTTTACCGCTTCCGTCGGTTGCGAAATATCATCCAAACAGACAAAAGTGGTTAGTCCTAAAGTTATTGTGGAAAAGGTGATGGCAGAGAGAAGTTGTAAAAGAAAGTGCCTTGTAATTATGATGTTCCTACAAAGCCGAAAACAATTTACAGATTCTAATGTTCATGGAATGCCATCCCCTCCGAACTCTTTTTTCTTTTTCTAACTAGCAGAAATGAGGCCAGCCATCGGACATTGCTGATGTTGTCTTTGGTTGTTCGATATGTGAATCTCCCATCTAAGTCTCCATTCGAGTGATCTTAATGCATTCGGAAGTGTTCCTCACACCATCCCCTTAAATCAAAGGAGTTTCGGTGAACCTTTCGCCCTTGTGAGGAACGTACGGTTCCTGAATACAGAATTTTCGTTTTCCAAGATTAGAAGAACCTCATTTCAGCCAATAAAACCTTCCAATCCTAAGAGGCCTTATTTTAAACTCCATTTTGGACTTATCTTTCTTCCATGAGCATACTGATTCATTTGACTATATTGCCCTAGCAAAACCTACTACTCATAAGGCTACTGAAACCTATCAGCACTGCATTACCGGTTTCCGCCCTTGGTTGGGCTCTTCAGGTAGCGGTAGTCCTGGAGCTTCCATCAAACTTATCTTCTACTTGAACACAAAAGTGCATGTTGTTGGCCACTCCCTACCAACTGTATGTGCTTTACAAAGGCTGTGTGATATTTCAATAGAAGTATCCCCTCTCCATGTAACATATTACGTATAATATTGCACGATAGTCTTGTGTAGCTCACTTTCCGTTTCCTCTGTCTTGTGGCTCATCCGAGTGTAGTTTTGTATCAATAAAAGATTTTTTTGATATCTTCAAGAGTTGAATACAGTACTAACTGAAATTTGGGGAGACTTTTAAAGCACATTCAGTCAAAGAATACCATTGGTGTGAGGTCCATTTAAGGTACCGTTTGCGTCTCCCTTTACCAGCAACCTAACGAGCGAAAGCGTATATTCGTCCTATTCAGCTCACTTTTTGTGTGGTTATCTTTCCAAAGACGCTTCAACATCGCTGTAAAGGTTGAGTCTCAATTCAACTTCGTCGAAAAGCAACGTATAGAGGCGTTATGGTCCCCTACTCTAGGTTCATTTTTGAAGCATGTGACACTTCTTTGTTCCAATTAGAGGAATGACTTCTCCGTTCTCTATTCTCATATAAGTATCTCCACACTTCATTTACGCATTTTTTATGATGTAATATGAAGTTCGCTGCATCCACTCTCTGGGTGCACAAAGCCTTCCCTTTCCTTGATGTGATTTGAATTCAACAAGGCTACGTGTAACACACGTGGGTAGTTAACAGTGAAACGACGCATTTACTACACCTGGTTCTCAATATCACTGTGTTCTGAGTGAAATCTATCCAATGCAGCTAATCACGTGACCAATATGCCTGAAACATGGGGATCTTCCTTGGCCAAGAATGCTTGAGTACGTCTGAAAAGTCCAGACAAAACCTTCTAAATAAAACAATCTTTTACAGATTCTACAAGGGTATTTTTCGTCAGCCATGACTTGCGGTGAGGGATCCCTAGCGAGAAACCCAACTCAAGACAAACCAGATGAAGATGATGTCTCTTCTGTCAGCATAAAAGCGAAATAAACAAGTTATTAGAAAGTGAATGAAACACTTGCATTCCACCGTGCGTAACTATCCCTAGTTAGGTACAAAGTCTTCGTCATCAGTGAGAAAGTTCGATCGATGACAGCTTGGTGCAAGTGAACCATGGACCGTCACTGGGAACTGAGTAAGTCAGTTAACACCGGCCTCGTAAACGTCGCATTTACTACACCTGGTTCTCAACATCACTGTCTTGAGTGAAACCTATCCTATGCAGCAAATCACATGAGCAATATGCCTGAAAACATCGAGATCTTCCTTCGTCAAGAATGTTTGAGTACGTCTGAAAAGTCCAGACAAAACCTTCTAAATAAAACAGTCTATTACAGATTCTACAAAGGTATTTTTCGTCAGCCATGACTTGCGGTGCGGGATCCCTAGCGGGAAGCCCAACCCAAGAAAAGTCAGGCGATGATGATGTCTCTTCTGTCAGCATAA